TACCATCTTTATTTCTTCGCTTAGCAGGGAAGATAGCGCCACTTACACGGTGAAGGCTGTGAATGAAGCTGGCAGCTCTTCGGTTGAATTACATCTTAGAGTAATAGGTATTATTGTTATTTAATACTATTATTATTATATTATATTAATTATTTTATATTAATTATTACTATTATATTATATTAATTATCAATTGATTCGGTTCATTGATCATATGATTAAGAAGAAATGGAATGCAATTAATATCTTAAATGGATTATTAATTCGTAATTTTCCTACTTTTCTTTCTTTCAAATTATCGTAGATAAGCCTAGCAAGCCTCAAGGACCAGTGGTCTTTAAAGAAATCAGGCAAGATCGTGTCACTATCGAATGGCGGCCACCGGAAGACGATGGTGGAATCGAACTTGAGAAGTACACGATTGAGAAGTACGAACCTGGCAAGACTTGGACGAAAGTGGTCGATATCGATAAAGAAGTAGAAAGTTTCTGCGTGCACAAATTGCAACAGAATGCCGAGTATAAGTTCAGAATCATCGCCAGGAACGCTGTTGGAGCCTCTGAACCTCTGGAATCGGAAATAGTCAAAATGAGGACTTCCTTCGGTAGATTGAATTTTTATATTTTTAATTAAAATTTTAAGTGATACATGGATCAAATTTTAATACACACATAAATATTATTTTATATTTAAATCGTTCTTTTCCTTGCTTTTTATAATTCTATTAAATTTTTTAAAACAATAAGCAATAGTTGTTTGAAGTTTGTTCAAATATTACAATATATTCTTGCAGAACCACCTGGACCACCAAGAGGACCTCTGGAAGTATCAGGAATGACGAAAACATCGTTCACGATAAAATGGCAGGCTCCAGAAAATGATGGTGGAACACCAATAACAGAATACATCATTGAGATTAAAGAAGAATCGAAGAAAGCTTGGCAAAAAGTCGATAAAAATTCTTCGCTTTCGACGAATATTTTCTTAGAAATCAAAATTCAATTGTTTTATTTACATTAAAATATTTTACAGATCGGCAGCACAAAGCACGAAACGACACAATTCGGCGTATCGAATCTAAAGACAGATGTGCCATACAACTTTAGGATAACAGCTAAGAACAGCGTTGGAACTGGTCCTCCTTACGTGGCTGAAGAACCAATTGCACCAGGCAGACGAATCAGTAAGTCATGCAGCAATCAAATTAATCATGTAGAAAACTATAATATTAATTGCCTAAGCTTAATTATATAATGATATTAATTTGTTCGAAATTAAAATTAATTTTGAAATTAAAATTTAACTTCTCGAGAATTATGATTTATTATTAAAATTGAATTCCACACTGTTAGGAATTATTTTATTAATTATTTAATTTTTATATTTATTATTTTATATAATATTATTATATTATATTGCTATTATATTTTTGATCATATTCTATTTTCTTTTTTTATTTATAGATATTTATATATATAGATTATTTTTAGATACATACATTGTTCTAATATATACATTGAATAAAATAAATAATATAATAATTTTTATAATTTAAATATATTCCTATTTTAGCTTGTAATGATACAAATAATCGTAATCACTCGAGGAGTTATAACGCATAATATAAAAATAATACAATAATTTTGCAAAGCTTCGAAGTACTCTATGCCTATTAAATGTTTTAATTAGCATTTCTAACAATTTCAAATATAAATCATCCAGCACTTCAACTGCTTATTACTGCTTATTTATTAATTTCGCTATCGCTTAGAAATAACAAAAATGACCGAAAGCACTATGTACGCTCTGCTTGGTATATTTCCGCCGACGAAAATAATTATCAGCAAAAGTAAGTTATTCACAAAACATACTCTCATTGCTTATTATTATTAAACATCGTTCGATCTATTTAATAAATAACGTTTGATTTGTAGCACCACCATCGAGTCCGCAACATGTGCAAGTGATAAATGTTACCAGCAAGAGCGTAACGCTCAGTTGGTCTCCACCAGCCAGCAATGGAGGAACAGAACTCACAGGTAATTAAAATATATATAAAATATATATAATAGAAGTAACAAAATAAAATGTTACCAATCTCTTCCGTGATTATAATTTTCAAGTATTTATTTGAAGATTCGCTATTATATATCGAAAGAATAAGGATTTAGAATTGCTATATTATTTGATATCGTAACATTAAATTATATTTTTGAATTTTTTAATATTTAGTAAATATACAGAGTGATCAGAAATAATATTTAGAACTTGAATTGCCCTATTCTTTTTGGATTTTTCTACAATTATAGAAGTTTCGGAAATTTCAAGCCCTTATCTTTTAAAATAGAATCACATATATTTTTATATATATTATTTGATTCAGCTCGACATTTTTTATAAAAAAAATTAGCCCGTGTATGTCGAAAAATTATTAATTTATTAATTATTAATTTTGTTAAATTAATACGAAAGACAAGAAAAATATAGAAATCGAAAAGAATCGAATCACAAATCCACACGTATTATGTTTATATTGATATCAAGTGTGAGGAACAAAGATAGAGCGAAAACATAATATCAGTATCTTATCAAAATAGTAAACGTCAATTGCTAATATATCAATATCGATTACTTTTAAGATACTTATAAAAATTCGAAACGGTCGTATAAATGTTACTTATCTTTCATTTAATAGCCACAGAATTATATACTTGCGATGTCGTGATTCATATTAAGAATTAATACTTCTTGAAAAACATCAACTATTAAATATACGTACAATCAATGATTAAATAATATTAAAATTATACATATAGAATTACGAAAAAATAATATGTTCATTTGGTTCAATAGGATACATAATCGAAAAGAGGCCATTGATTGGAAAAGGAGCAAGATGGACGAAAGTTGTCACCCTGGACGCTACGACGCTTCAATATTGTATAGAGAATTTGAAAGAGAGCGAATTTATCTTCAGAATCTTCGCTGAGAACAACATAGGACTCAGTTTACCTACAAATTCAGAACCAGTTACCTTGATGACACATGCTAGTAAATATTCATTAGCCTTTTTGAATAATATATATTTTTTTTTTTGAATAATATAATATTTAAATTTAAATTTAAACTATTTAATAAAATGTTTATTTCCTTTTGAATTTTTTAATTTGAATTAAAATTTTTATTTCGTTTCTTTCAAAATTGCTTTTCAAAATCGTGTATAAATTTTTAATTAATTTTAATTTAATCTAATCCCGTATTCACAGATGTTCCATCACCACCAACTGCACCATTGGAAATCAGGCAAATTGCAGCAAACACAGTCGTTATTTCGTGGGGTAGGCCGGAATCAGATGGCGGTGCGCCATTGGAAAGTTACAAAATTGCTATTAGGGATGCAAAGAAGACCATGTGGATGGAAGTAGGCAGAGTGAACGCAGATACACAGAAATTGAATATCAGGGATCTTCAGGAAAATCACATGTACCTAATCAGGATCTTTGCCAAAAACGAAGTCGGTCTCAGTGATCCTCTAGAATCTGATGAACCTGTCAAAATCATACCAGCTTCCGGTGAGCTTCCAATATTTTTATTTTACCGTTTTTTAAGAATCTATATTTTTAGTAAAATTTAGAAAATATTTGAAATTTTTTGGAAACATTAAAAAGAAAATTTTGAATTATTTGAAAAGTATTTCCATTTTCAAATTTCTAAATTTCACAAATTTCAAAAATAAAAGATGCTCGAAAAATTCTGTAATATCAAAAATTTATATACCAATTCATAAAAATTTCTGCAAACGTTTCAACGTTATATTCTCATTTAATTTTCTAGAATTAGCCGTAGTGGAGCCAATCGCAGAAATGACCGAAAAAGGTGAAACTGCATCGGTCAGTTTTAGCACAGAGAACACGAGTTCTTGGCTACGCGAGCACAACATGGACGCTGATATCCATTCGTACGCGAGAGCAAGACTTCTTAGACAAGACGAGTACTTCTTCCGCATTTGGCATTACGCTAAGAAACTTTTCGAATAAGCATTTCTACGATTTAACGATGAAATGAAAAACGAAGAACGAAATTCACATTCTTTCTTCATTTTATCGAGGACCATAACATATAATTTAACGCATTAGCGAGACAAAGAAAACGAAATAATAATGGACAGATTCTTTTTATTAATTTAACGCGTTATAGAGATATTTCGTTCTTTTTCTCTTCTGTCCTTTTTTTTCTTCAACGAAATTTGAGAGAATCGTATTTCTATAAAAGTCGAAAATTATTTTCCTCTTTCACGAAACTTTTTATTCTAGCGTCAGATATTTGATCTCTCACGTGAACACCGTATATACTTATAATATACGAAATATTAATGACACTCTTACATCGTTCCTCTTTTAGAATCATGCGTATAGAGACTAGATTTATTTTAAGGATCGATATTGGATGGGTGTAGAATCTAGTCAGCGTAGAATAATGATATTATTATTATTATTTTCTTTTTCATCTTTTAACGGACCAAGACTTCCTCACGCATACTTGGAATCAAACACAAACGGAAGAGTTACATTTCCTCCGATT